AGGTGTTGCCAAAAACCCCAGTCCTTGGTGTTGCACCAAAATCTTGGCAACAAGAGAGAAGACGCTACCTGACAAGACGAATGTTGAAACTCTTGAGTACTGAGAGGTCCGCAAGCAGGATTATATGGAAGTACAGTAGCAGGGAAGACCAATAAACTTAAACAAATCATGTTCTTCTAATAAAGCTTGAAGCTGTTTTTATTCAGCTACTTAGAAATAGTTAAATCAGTTGAAATGCTTATTTTTCTTATTGGCGGTTCTGATGGTCCAGCATGTTTCTGGCAAGGCAGCCTGTTGATGTGCAGACCTGTATTAATAGAACATGGGTTGCACAGGTAGGATCTGAGAACAGTGTTAAATTGTTGGCAGGGGTTTGGATTTAGTGCTTGACAAGCTCTTGTCAAGAGACAGCAAAACCAACTTCCAAATTTAGTATTGTTATTAAAGAAAATTGCACGTAGAATCATAGAATGCTTTGGGTTGGAAGGGACCTTAAAGATTATCTGTTTCTAACCCCCCTGCCATGGGCAGGGACACCTTCCACTAGACCAGGTTGCTCAAAGCCCCATCCAATAGTTTGGGTTGGAAGGGACCTTTAAAGGCCATCTAGTCCCTCCCCCCTGCAATGAGCAGGGACATCTTCAACTGGATCAGGTTGCTCAGAGCCGCGTCCAACCTGACCTTGAATGTTTCCAAGGATGGGGCATCCGCCACCTCTCTGGGCAACCTGTTCTTGTGCTTCACCACCCTCCTCATAAAAAATGTCTTCCTTATATCTAGTCTGAATCTACCCTCTTTTAGTTTAAAACCATTACCCTCTGTCCTATTGCAACAGGCCCTATTAAAAGTCTGTCCCCATCTTATAAGCCCCCTTTACACATAGAATCATAAATGTCCTGCGCTGGAAGGGACCCACAAGCATCATCAAGTCCAACTCTTGTCCCTGGATAGGACAACCCCAGAATTCACAACATACATGTGCTCACCATGAGACTGGTCAGTGTGTCTCGTTTGGATTGAACGTCTTCGCTGCAGCTGTGTTACAGTCACAGACCATCTTAAACAACTTAAAACTATTAAAACATTGCAGTTGATCAAGAAAGCCTGGTTGCTATGCTTAACGCCGCTCTTTGGTTTGATATGATACCTGTCCTCGTTCTTTGAATGTGATACTACATTTTATTCAGCCTTCACATGAAAGTGGTTTATGAAGTAATACCGTGTCACTTCCGTACATTCAGAGGCACTAGGGACACAGAGTGAGAAAGGGAATTGGTTGCTGCAACTGCAGTCAGTCTCTCTTTGAGATTTTTTTTGTTAAATGGCTTCTCAGAAGTGAGTGTTAATGTTTGTGGGCCATGATGAGATGTTCTTCAGCCATAAAATTGCCGATCTGTGTATTAAACTCAATCTTCAGTATGTGAAAAACATAGTTGTTGTCTCAATACAAGACCTTTTTTTAAGTGGCAAATGCTTTGTCTAGGGAGGTATAGTCTGCAAAAGCATCCCTTTACTAACCTGATGTTGCAAATAGTTAAACATAATTTACATGTAAATAGCATATGCAATTGAGTAGTGATACATGAAGTCCTGTTTTATAAGTAATGTTTGCAAGCCATTCGGATCCCTGAGTCTGACATTTAGTAGTGGAAGGGTTTTTTGTCTTTTCAAATGGTGGAAGGGTTTTTACGTCTTCAAAAAAGATGGCGTGATACAAAAAATACGTTAGAATTTGTGAATGGTAGTTCCTTAAATAGAAGCAGCAAAGCACTGTAACACAGGATTAAAGTTTCCTCTTTTCATTGTTGTATCCTTGTTACTAGTATTTTTTACCTTTACAGTTATAGTTACTTCCTAGATGCTGTGCCTATTTGACCTCTGTGTAGAGGCACCTGATACTTGCCTGTAAGCACATAAAATGATGTCTAGCTTAGTCGTATGGCAAAGTCTACAAGTAGATTACATCTCTTGAGTTCGTGTTGAAAAAGGCAATAAACCAGGATGAGATGTTTGCCAGAGGGGTAACATCCTTCCAGGAACATCTGGTAGCAGAAGTTCTGGATAACGGTCTGGCCTTGCCAAAATCTCCCTTTGAGGTTTCAAGAGTGTAAACATTCGTGATTTGGCTTTAGTTTTAGCAGGAAATTACTGCCATGAAGGGGTGATGGGGAGCCTCACATTAAGCACAACAGATAAGGCTGTTAAAGAAAAAAAAAAAAACCCTGGCATATTAGCTTGAGCTTTTAATATACTAAAGACTTAATGCAGTGGGACAGATACTAATGAATGCATTTCAGCTATATTTGTCCTGATTAGTACAAAACTTGAGAATACATGTGGAGACATCGGGTTTCTCAACTATGAAATTCCCATCTGTACTACAAAATGAGATGGTATTGTATGGCATCAGACTCTGGTCTCTTGTAAATAAGGTACAGGTGGAGCATGGTATGCTCATTCACAGCTCTTGGATAGACAGAAGTTTAAAAGCACGCTGTTCACGAAGTTTGGATGCTTTAAAGCCCTGGGCTTGTCCATGTAACTGTAAGCCTTTCGGTGTATCTGTATCTGTTAATGAGAAACAAATAATTTGTATTGCTGAGCAAAGTCCTTTTCTCTTATATTGGCGTATGTTTAAGCCAATGTATTGGTATAAATACATAACTTACATACACACATGTCCATTTGTAATTATGTATTTGGAGGGAGCGGGGCTGGGAAGTCACCTTTTGACTAACCAGCAAGGCTTGTCGCATAAGCAGTGGAATTGCATAAAGTTACATTTTTGTACTGATTCATTATATTTCTGTGGTCAGCCCCTCTTTTGCCTAGTAACTAGCAGCTGGGCAAGAAATGCTGTGGTTTGTGTCTGGTTTCGAGCTGACCTGTTTATTGACAAGTACAAGTATACTGGTTGTCTATCAGCAGGCCAGACAACTGTGAATGTTGAACTCGTGCTTCTCTCTTGTTGCAGACCATTAACTTCTCTCTTCTATCCAACTATTGGCCTTTGGAAAATGTGATCTTGTTTGTCCTCCAAAAATCTCAAATTTGTCTATAATTATCTAAGTTCAGTTCTTATTCTAGACCTGAGACTGAACTCCATAGGATAAAAATGTCAGAACAAGGATAATAGATGCGATTTCCTCAAGTAGTTAATCTATTTTAAGTGCACACTTGACTCAAATAGCTTCTGTTCTGTGGTTAAGCATTGCTGTATATTTGGAGTTTCACTTAACATTGCAAGAGTTGTGAACATTCATCTATGATTCTACTATTCTATTACTTTTTCAGGCATACCTGAGTAAATTTAGAGAGCATACTTAAAGCATTGTTGGTATTTTTTTATGATTCCTTAAAAATGACACTAAGCATCCTGTATTTAAGAAAGGTCAAATTTCTCATTCATCTGTTTTTTTCCCTAGCAAGTTTTGCTGCAACCTGGGTCACTTCAGATAAAGATGTGGAAACTAGTTCTCAGTTTAAAATTCTCAAGGCTTTTTTTTATTGCTGTTGTTTAAATGTTAATTACCATAGTATAACTATTTGCCTCTGATGGGAACTCCCTGGCCATCCTGCTAGAAGTCAGCCAGGCAGAGCAACCTGATCCAATATCAAGGTTAGCTCTCCTTTGTTTCGAGGGGTGATTTAGGTGGCCTCCAA